AAAGTGCAACTTTATCATAGATTCTGCATCTCACAAAGCCATACAGAAGCTTTGTTGTGTGACAGGACATTATGCAAGGCTGTGGGGACCAGTGTGGGTAAAATTGAGCTCATGGGCATAAAGGACAAACACAAAGTACACTTGGCTGACATTGAAGACCAATGCATATTAGGGTTGGTCTACTTACTACCGATGAAGTGTGTAGTTAATTTTGATAAAATGAGGTTTGGGAACAACAAAGGCCAAATTCCGGTAACTGTTAAAAGAGAGGTTGAACTAACTAGGTGCCATCAAGCTGAAGTTAAAGTGACTGATGGAGTAGATGATGGTGAAGTGGAACCAAATATACATATCAAAGCAGAACAGGAGAAAGACCAAGATTTGAAGCCAATAACTGATTTTCTAAAAGCTTTAACTGTTGGGACTTTTACAATGGGGGATGGTGGATGTCCCTCAACACCAACCACTACTGGTTTCCCCGATGCTGACTTATTTGTAGCATTCTTCTTACAGTGGCTCCTCATATGTCCTTGCTCTCCACAGTTCCAACAACCTTTCTGGGTAGCAGCCTTTCCTGCCGTGGCATCTTCCCTGTGTAGAAGTTGTCGGCATTGAGCTCTCTTGTGCCCAGGTTTGTTACAGTGCCAGTAAGTTCCATCAAATCTCTCTGAAAGCTGCCCTTTTCTGGTCTTGAATCCTGATGACTGTACCAACCTTGGTACCTCTGTGCTGGACTTAACGTAGGATTCGAATTCAAGAACTCTGGCCATTGCGTCTTGTACAGTAGAGGGGTGTGCTTGCTTTACTTGTATCTTCAGTTGTGGACTGTCCAAGGCGTCTACAAACGGTTCCCTCAGCAACAGCTTGATGACATCAGGTGGTGCAGTTGGGTAGGCCTTGTGTGCCATACTTTCTAAATCTATTATCCCCTTTAGCACAAACTCTAGTCCTAAACCTAGCCCTGTAGACTTCAGACTGATTTTGAGTTCCATACCTGAGTTCTAGAGCAGCTACTAGTGCTCTATAGTTATGCCTGTCATCTGCTGATAACTGTCCAAATATTTCCAGTGTTTGTCCCTTAAGACTCGTTGCCAGGTACACTGCTTTCTGCTCCTCT